AAACAAGTACGCTTAGAGATTTATAACATGCTCAATTGCGAGTGGAAGGCCACGAGCAAGTGATGTGGACTCAGGATTCTGGAGACCCAACCTCCCATACTTTGATTCATTGCAGTCATTTGGAAGCCGCATATAATATCGATTGCTTACCAGCGTTGTCAACTGGAACTATGCCCAACTCAGCTCGTCCTGAAATACCCCAGAGTCCAGAACAAAGAATAATTTTCGGGAAAAGGTTTTGCGAGTTGATGATCTGGTGTCACATTAGATAGGTACGTATTGCCTCTTATCACAATACTACAGATCCAAGCCAAATGCGTAGAGAAATTTGGCCTCTGCCTGTGAAAGATTACTCACAGAGTCTCTGAGTACTCGTTAAGACTCGGCTTTCTTGGAGATGTTTCTTTCTTAGGGAACCAGATTCCAGAATGACCGTATTTGTAGAGTCTCACCATTTCGTACCATCGTAGCAACTTAATTCGTCCCGAAGCCTCCAGGTTACGACTCTTTCTCTAGAGAATTCTATCCATCGTTCTTCATCGAAATTCCGGGAAATCTTGTTCTCCGCCTTTAAGAGACCAACAAATTGTAATGCTGTGCAGGCTGTTCAACAGTCCCCGCAACCGACTGAGACTTCTCAAGGCCGATCACAGCACAGCGAATATCTGACCACATAAGAACAACTTCTGTATCAATATTGAATGCAATGTCGTTCTTCTGCGTAGGAGATGGCCGACCTCGAGGCCAAGGGCCTGAAGAACATCCGCCATCGACGAGAATTGTAGAGCTGTAGAAGGACAACAGCGGACAGAAAGTCAAGAGTTTGCGAAATTAATGTGGTTGGTAATGGTGATTATCTTCCTTCCTAGGTTTGAAACTTTCGCACCTAGTTGAACAAAGTATTAACCTGCTCAAAGAGCACAAACAATGCTCTTGCCTCTCTAATGATGCTCAATTCATAAAGTAAGTACCCTTCCATTGAAATACTAGAATAACGCGACAACTTGGTCTAAGCTTCATCGCGGCTTTACCCAAGTGGGCACACCGGAAGGATGGGCTCCGTCGCTGTCTTGAGTCTGAGGACATAGAGGATCCGAAAAGGATCTCGCCCACTACCCAGCAATTGATCGCCCGCCACGGCTGGAAGCGAACCAGCAAATAGATCGCATGGGTTCGGAGCGATGGTGTCGCAACCATTACTTGCATGACGCCTAGGTGACAGGCCGCTCCTCAATCCTGAGAGGATGACGAGAACTAAGCGAGACACGATTGATTGAATCACTACCGACGATGTGACTGCGTCCTTCCCGCGACCTACAGGTACCGAAAACGTCATTTTAGTCAACTATATTTTAACGACATAGCCAGAATGCATTCTTTGATTTTGGCATGACGGCGTTTATCTGCATCTTTCTGGGATACAAGAGCACAGCAATCCCCCAAGTCATGATGTTTTAGGTACCTTAGGCAGAGGTTGGAGTGCTTGTGCCAAGTCCCTCTCTCAGTTTCCTCTTGCGTGTAGATTAATGGAATGCCAAGAGACTGCGAGTCTTGAAGCGCATCGTTCAAAGAGTCGCCTATTCGTGGGAGTTGACTTCAACGTTTGATGTCGACCTTTCGCAACACCTCACAACACCATGACGGCTCTATCGCGACAACGGCGTTTCATTTTCCCGTCGCCGCCACCGCCGCGGTCGCGCTTGTCGCCTGCGCCTCAGTTTCTCAATCGAGGAGGGAGCCGCCAAGAGGCGAAAAGGCCGTGGAGCAAATGCGCGGCCGCCATCAACTGCTGAACAATGCATCGCTCATCGAACACGAACCCAGCAGGGCCGACCCGATTGGCAGACCAGACCTACCAGTACCACTGAACACGAGGACTGGAATGCGACGGTGCGAGTTGACTCGACTCATGCCCCTCCTCTCCGGTCGTATCCGTGGTGTACAGCCACACTCCGTGCCGCGCAGATCTGGTAGCGGATCTGGAGCAGACGACGGGAGCTGAACGACGGCAGTCCAGGAATTCAACTCCATCGATCGGCCGAGACAATGTCTTGTTGCATTCTGAACACTGATGACGAACTCGATTCAATCCTACGAATGATTGGAGATGGGGTGGCCATCAGAGTTTCGGGCCCAGTCCGCTTCTTCGTGCCAACAACGGGAATATGAACACGAAAACCTTGGGAAATACGCAATCATCGCTGTCCCGTAACATATTTCCCACCCATTGGGCAGAAGCAATTGCGACTCGCGGCTCGAAACTTGCCGCGCTGAACAGGCACAGCCTGGGTTGTCAAGCTGACAACTGACAAGTTAACTTCACGGCTCACCTTACCACCCGTAACTCTGCTGCCCCCTTTGGCCGCCCATCCCGAGAGGGGGATCCAATTTCTACGCGCTGCGCACCCGCGGCTGGGCGTTCTGACGTCGTCTAGTGGGGGGACGTTTTTTGGCCCTTCCAATCCCCCCTCCTCCCGTCCCATCCCGCCAGGAAAAAGCCCGTGATGCCCTGACCAATTCTGACGAGTTTAGACCAAGGTGGAACTGGGCAGAGAAGCCTTGGCCCAGTCTACCAGGTAGCCCTTGTCGCTAAGCGTTCTGTACCTGCATCTGCCCAGGTCTTGCCCAGGAAATTTTCACCCCCTATCGCTGGCCTCAGGCCGCCTGCGAATCCTTCGACGAACTTGAATTTGGGAGGGATTTTTTGTACGGAATTATCAGTGGGTCGAGAGTCGGCACATATCCACACCGAAAGGGCGGTTCCCTGTCCTTAATAGGCCATACCAAGAGCCTCGGCGGACAGCTCCTTTGCTCGCTTGGAGATGTAAAGTGGATGCATCACCGCGAGCTCCGGTTCGTTGCATAACTTTGCCATAGTAAATGTGTGCGCATTCTCATCAATGGCGGTGGGGAGACCATAGCGAAGCGAAATGTCAGCAACAAAAGAGCATTCCAAGCATCACATGATATTGGCCCAAATTGAATATGGTAGGTTATCTTGATTCAAAGTGCGTGTTGATGAATGGAAGCCACCTTAAAGCCCCTCCCATCTGATGATATATGCGTATATACAAAATATGATATGATCATTATCCCAGTGTCCCCGAAAAATTCATTATTCTAGTTGGTGTAGATATCAATGCTCGCTAACAAAAAATAGCCAATATCCAATGTACACATTACCATTGTATGGTCTGTTTCTCGTTTTTGATTCTCTTATGACGATGCCTTGATCTCCATCGACAGGGTCGGTACGCGGAACGTGACAACGTTGGTGGCTGAGAGCGCTTCGGAACCGAGACCCATGTAACCGAGATATGTTGAGGTCGTAGGGAAGTTGGCGTTGGTCATGGTGGTAAGCTTCGTAAGGAGGGGGGCGAGATCGCCGACAAAGTGCTCGATCGTTGCTGTGGCCTTCCAGGTCAAGACGTATTGATCCAGACTGTTCTGCCCGAAGAAGAGTTGGCTGCAACGCAAGCACTATTAGCTTCGACCCCCCAGAACCCCTCCACGTCAATCATGGATATCGGAAAAGCAGCAACTTACAACGTGGTTCCGTTAATCGTCTCTGTGGTGAGTGCGCCGGCGCCATTTTGGTAACCAATGGGCTGTGTCGCGGCGCCAAAGGTGCCAAACCACACCATCACTTCGTACTTCGCCTTGGTACTGTCTTGCGCCGAGCTCTTGTCGTCGTCCAAGAACATATCGATGGCGACGTTAGTGTTGGTGTCATTGTCGGTCAGCTCAGTCTCGTCGGTGTTCGTCGCAGCTGCGCCATCGGTGGTGTAGTTGCCGACGGAGTAGGACCACTCAACGTCCACGTTGATGTTTGAGAGCTTGGGGATAGAGACCGGAAGAGAGTTGCCGTCGACCTTGATGTTGGGGAAAGCGTGGACGGGCTGCGTCTCAGGGCCACGGGGGTAGCGCCATGTGACGTAGAACTCGGGAGCGCTGAAATCGGTATCGTATGTCTGGTTGTTGAATGTAGTAACCTAGGGCGAGGAGCGACGGATTAGCCGCGGTGACAATGGATGATGGCCATGCTCGTCGACAAGGCAGCTTCAAGCTGTGCAAATGTTGAAGCTGCAATCGAAGGCTTGGCCTTGGTGATATCACACCCCGCGATAAAGATGGGCGGAGGAGGGGTTAAGAGTTGACGTACATTCATACACAAGAGACCATCTGAGCCTTCGGTCCAACCCCACTGGTTCGGGTTCACTGTTGCGTCGAAACAGAAATCGTCAGCATGCTATTGTCTTGTTGTAATAAAGAAAAGATCCCGTGTGTATCTGCATCAACAAGAAGGCCAGCCAACTGGAGCGAACAGCCAGGTTGCGCCCGCCCAGACAGGTTTCGCATTTCAAGGGAGCAAAAGTCAAAACAAATCTTCGGCTCATGCCATGAAGCATGACAAGGTCCGCGGGCCAGAACACACGAACAAAACACGGGAGCCCGTGTTGTTCCCAAAGAAAAACGCAAAATAGTTCAGATGACAGAGAGGCAGACAGCGCGCAGAGCATCCGCAACGGGAGAGGCTTGACTGCATCTTGGTGTTCGGTCCGTGCCGCCGCATGGAGCGGAGAGGCAGGTTCCCGTGAAGGAGACAGGCGACGATGAGGACATCGCGAAAGACTGATGAGATGGACTTGACTTACGTGTGTACTCCTGACCCTTGGACAGAGGGTGAAGACCCATTGCCTTGTCGCAAGATACCATTGCCGTGATGCCATTGTTCTTTGGTGTCGTGCCCGGGTTGTCAGGCTCGGTGAAAATTGGCGATTGTCCGTTTGAACTTCTGCCAGCATCGATTCCAATGAGGATGCCGAGAGTCGCTCCGATGGGGACGGCCAGCAACACGAAGTTGACGACCCAGCGGAAGCCGAGGAAAGGCATCGTGAATAGGGAAAAAAGAGAGGAAGGAAAACGAGCGTAAGTGAATACCTTCGACGTCTCTCCGAGCTGCTTTGTTGCAGTGATCCCTTCCAAAAGACGACGATGCGGACAGGCTCAGGCGGAAATCCGACGCAATTCGTCTACTTCTATTCGCAGCAGCACATGCAGAGGAGCGAAAGTGGTGTCGTCGGTGACAGTCGAATTCTGGTTTAGGTATGGGAGGGTAGGTAATCGATTAGGTGGGTGGGAGGTTCAGGTAAGGAGAGGTTCAAGCCAGGTCTGTCTGGTCAGGTAAGGGTATGTTAGGGAACGCGGGCGCGGGCCTCGACTCGTGCAGGTATCCAGGGGACAGGGAAAAGGGGGTGTGGGAAGGGGGCGTGTGTGGACGATCCGAGCAAGTTCACAACCATTGGGCGAGGCTTGCTGTGTGCGTGGTGAGAAATGTAGTCACAGGCCACAACAGGAGGAGACAGCAGTGTCAGACAAGTAGACAGTCGGCGAGCAGGCTCCAGACGAGGCTTGTTCAGTCGGTAGCAATCAACTGTACGCCAGGGCCTGGGATTCGAGCGCGAGAGCAGGCCAAGCCAAGTGAGGATATTGGGAAAGAAAAATGCAGAATTGAGGCGCGTCGGGCAAACGAACGTCCAGAAAGAGTCTACGAGAATAAGAACCCCTATCCTCAACCGCGGCGCAGCACGCCACCCCGGAAAGGCTTGTCCTCTTTTCTGCATCCAGTGCAGCAGACTGTAATTACCTCGTCCTCCTTGCTCGTGCTTTATTTCACCAAGTTCTCTGCCAGTCGGAATCCCAAACAAACCGGGCGGAACGCGACGGGCAAGATAGAAAAAAGCGAAACGAAAGGACCGGAGTCCTGGGGGCAAGCAGACGGTGTAACGCCTGGTCCGTTGGGGACGTTTACACCGGATAGGATCTATCTGGGACTGGCTGTTTTTTTGCCTCCCCGAAAATAAAACCCTTACAACGCTGAGTCCTAACTTGTATACGGATAGTAAGTATGCGGATATGAGGTGGTCCATCCTTTCCATTCCATCATCCCGTCGTTCCCCCCTCCGAAAAGGCCCAAGGCTCAAGCCAACTTTTGCCAGCCAGGCCGGACATCTCAGATCACAAAATCGACGATTGCAGGTCCTGCTTCTAAATCGGACCGGCCCCTGGCCTAGCGCCAGTCAATGTGCCGGCTGCCTTCGGTCATCCTTGCATAAAATGGTACCCGCATTTCTAGAACACGAGAAAAAAGCAGGGATTTGTGAAGATAACGGCCCTGCAAGTGGATAAGAAGCAGACTGCCCTCGACGGCCTTGGACGCGGACTCTGGGATGACCCTGGAAATCATTGGATGGTCCTGGGATGGCCCTCATTGGCGAACACTGTCATCCGAACAGTGGGCTCGGCCCCTCCTGGAGGAAGAAGAAAACAACAGGCTGCACAGCAAAGGAGGACGTCAAGGCTAATCAAGATTGGAGAGTCAAGAGAGGGAGAGAGAGAGGCAGCTGCCCGGTTGTGGTCCCCGCAAGACTTGCTTGCTGCAGAGCACCGCGGAATGGGTGGGAAGAGGTCAAGGAACTTGGCTCGAGTCACCATTCATGACAGCTTTTTTGTTTTCCTTTTCTACGACCACTTCTTCCCTCCCCCTAATGTCTTCCAAGTGGAGACTTTTGGCCCCTGGTTATATCCATCTTTTCTGACCGAAACATCCAATCCTCTAGTAAGCATATGCGAGCGGACGAGGGAGAACGTGCCCACAGGCGGCAGACTCTCCACTAACTCGACCCAAGAATCAAAATAAAATAGAAAAGAAAACAACAAACCAACGGCGCGGCGGTCGAACCCAGCCAGTAGGCTTTCGGGGCTTCGAGTGGCTTGATGGGCTTGCTAGGCAACACAAACTAACCTGATCCCCGGCGTCCGCGCGCCGCTCACACCCTTCCTGCAGACCTCCCACACACCCCCTCCCTTTCCTTTGGACCATGGCTGCTGAAGCAAACGCTTGGCTGTCTCCCTCCATGCCCAGTCCAGCTGGCTTGGTATCTGTTGCTAATGCCAATCCTCTCTATCCCACCCGTCTGGCACGACTTCTCTACTATGTATGCGTAGGGTTATGTAGGATAATCCAGAGCCAACTCTGACACTGTCTTCAGAATTCAGAGAGTTCGAAAGCGAACAGGCATTGGGAGGCAATAACCCAGGACAGCTTGTGCTTGGCAAGGCAGGCTACTCAAATCCAAGGTGGCACAGACCTGACCCGGGGCGAAATGTGAAATGGCGCGAGTCCATCACAGATTCACCATCCTCGTGCCCAGACTGGACAGGCCGATGATGTGGGCTCCATCAACCTGGACCTCCCAATTTTAATCACGTCAGGCTCTCGTCGGATCGTAATCAGGGCAGTGAGGCTTAGCGGAGTCCGAGTGGGTTCCCGTTAAGTCATGTATGGCCCTGATGTGTCCGCGGGCCCCCCCAAGCAAGCTCCTAGTCCCATGTCTTGCTTGCCAATTGCTCCTTTCCCCCAGACTGATCCCCTTCCCGTTGACCTTACCCCCCCGAGAAGCACAAGAGAAGAGAAGCCCGGCCTCTTGTCAATCCGTCTCTTTTCTTGTACACTCCCTCCCCCAGACCTGACCGGCATTCTGATTCCTGTCTGTCAAGTCAGTCCAGGCTCTTGGAAGTCTGTGTTTGGGTGCCACTTGTGCAAAAGCTCTTCTTGTTGGATGACATATCGGTCGATGCTCCTGTGCTACGACTCCTCCTACATGTACTAAGCGGGTCGACTTCTTTTTTCCTTCGATCCTAATACTTCTTCCCTTTACATCACCACCCACATTCGTTTTTCAACCAAAACGTCCGTCCAAGTCTCGAGCTGAACTTGGCGGAAGAGAAAAGAGAAGGGAGAGCGAGACGCGCGGGGACTCACTATCGTTTCTGTTTTACCTTCGACCCAGCCTCTTACACGCACTCTGGCTGTCCCCTTGGCTTCGGCACACACACAACGTTTCCGCCCTAGACACGCTATACACTCGTTCATTCCAGCCGTCGGTTGGTCAACACCGCAATCATGATGGGGGGACACGGAAGACCGCAGCAGGGTCAGGATTACCCCGAGGGGGAAATGGTGGAAATTGATGTTCTTCAAGGACATCATCACCCTCACCAAAATCAATATCAACCGCCGTATCAAAACAACAACCAGCAGATGCCGCAAAACCAGCAATACCAGCAACCTCAGTACCAGGAGCAATACCAGGAGTACTCTCAAAACCCGTATGGTAGCCCGTACCAGAACGAGCCGACCCAGTCCCAGGAGCAATTCGGACGCGCCCTGACGAATAACGCACCCTCTCCGTACCAGCAACAGGAAGGGTTCCAGCCGCCGTACAATCAACAACAACAGTACCAGCAGCCTCACGCTGTCTCCGGGGACGAGTTGTACGGACCTCCGGGTTGGGCAAACCGTCACTCGATAGGCATGGCTGGCGCACCTTCAATCGGACCCTCGATCTCGGGGATGGACACGCCGGTCGAGTCCCGCTCAGCGACGCCTACGCTGAAGAGCGGCGCGAACACGCCGTTTGATCACTTGGCTGCCCCGAGGCATCCGTGGTCGACCGACTCGACGCCTAACAGCCCTATGGTATGACAATTCTTGATGATTTCCCAATGGTTTCGAAGTCCGCTGACAATGTGAACAGAACCAGAGCCATCAAAGTTTGCAAAACTTGCTCCCGGGACAGGCATCGCCGGTTCTCGCCAAGGAGTGGGTTGAGGGCAGCGACCAGATCGCGAGACTTCACAAGCGCGACGACTCTGACATCTGGGGCGGCTGGAAGCGCCACGTCTTCCGCATGGTTCCTATTCTCACCATCCTCGCTACCGGAATGTACCTCGTCTACCTCGCCCTTCGCATCTACTGCGTCATCTCTGCTCAACAACTTGCAAAGGAAATCTACGCCCAGGCCTGGGTCTTCATCGCTGTCGAAGTTGCTGTTGCGATTCCCTCAATTATGCACAACATCTGGACTATGTGGTCTATGAAGAAGCGCCAGCGCCCCAAGTTGAGACTTATGGGCGAGGATGTTCCCACCGTCGATGTTCTGCTCACTTGCTGCGGTGAAGAGGATGATTTGGTTCTCGACACTGCCCGCGCCGCCTGTGACGTCGATTACCCCCGCGACCGGTTCCGCGTCATTATTTGCGATGACGGCAAATCTGAAGGTCTTGAGAGCGGTATCGCGGCTCTGGCTATGACTTACCCGAATGTTCACTACCTCTGCCGCCCCAAGTATCCCGGTGTTCCACACCACTTCAAGGCCGGTAACCTGAACTACGCCCTCGATTTTGTCCACACGATGCCCGGCGGCGCTGGTCAGTTCATGGCTGCTCTCGATGCTGATATGGTACGTTGAAACCAGCCCAAGCTCACTCTACCTTCGAATGATGATCCCGTCTCCCGCAATTTTAAGCTTTAGCCCGATGTTCAACTTCAGCTAACTCTGAACCTGCAGATCCCCGAGCGCGACTGGCTCCGTGCCATTCTGCCTCACATGCTCATTGACCCCAAGGTGGCCCTCGCCTGCCCCCCGCAGCTGTTCTACAACACCCCGCCATCCGATCCCCTCGCCCAGTCCCTCGACTTCTTCGTTCACGTCATTGAGCCCATCAAGGACGCCCTCGGCGTTGCCTGGTGCACCGGTTCCGGCTACTGCGTTCGTCGTGAGGCCCTGGATGAGATAGGAAACTTCCCTCTCGGCTCTTTGGCTGAGGATGTTGCTACTTCGACTTTGATGCTTGGAAAGGGCTGGAAGACGGCCTACATCCACGAGCCCCTCCAGTTCGGCACTGTCCCCGAGGATTATGGCGGCCATCTCAAGCAGCGTACTCGCTGGGCCATCGGTACTGTCGACACATCGTTCAAGCTCAACTTCTGCTTGTACGGTGAGAAGGTCAAGCAGATGACGGCTGCGCAGCGTTTCTCTGGTTTCCTTTACGCCACGCTCAGTCTGTACACTATTCTCCTGACCCTCTCCATGTTCGCCATCCCGATTATCCTGGTCATGGGCAAGCCCCTGGTCGCCTACGCCAACTATGAGCAGCTCCGCTGGCTCATCCGCGCCTGTTTCGCCGCCACGCTCACCAACCGTCTATGCGAGTTTGCTCTGTTCATTCCTGCGGGTTACCACACTGGCCAGCGTGGTTCTCGTTACCAGCTCTGGATGTCTCCGTACATCGCGCTCTGCATCATCCGGTCATTCATCCTCCCCACCTGGCTCGGTGGCCAGACGCAGGCCTTCAAGCCTACTGGATCACTCGGCTCCGCCCTCAATGAGCGTGACCCCAAGACCCGCAAGGGCATGTTCCGCCGCCTTTGGGGTATCCTCTTCAACTACATGGCAATCTTCCACCTGGCTTTCGTCTACCTCACCCTCGTCGGCGTGGTTCTCACCTCGTACCGCTGCTTCTACGTCAACGATGAGCTCCGCGATATCCTGATGTGTCTCATCACCCACGCCTTCTGGCCGCCTCTGACCTTCATCTTCATCTGCAGTTCGCTCTGGACGCCCATCGCCTACGCCATTGACCCGCCGAACATGCCTGACCGCGAGCAACTTCTCGAGCGCGACCCCAAGACCTTTGTCGCCCACCCGACACCCCAGAGCAAGAAGATTGCCTTTGGCGGCCAGGCTGCGTGGTTCGAGACCGAGTTGACCGTCACCTCGGCCTACACGATCCTCGTCTTCGTCCTCTCCTTCATCTACTAGATTGCTTCAAACCAACTCATAGCATCGTTGTTTTATCACACACACATAGGCGCGGGACAGGCGGCGCCTACGGGACGCGCTTAACATTTGCACACGGCACACACAATATGCGCGCATCACAGACGTACAAAACCAAAGATGACTGTTACGATAATGTAATGCCTGTAACTACTGCACATAGATCAGTATAGAATTACGCAACAATAAGGGGGAATGCGCGGATTATGTCATCATCATCTAACCCTGCTGGAAGGGAAATTAGGTCAACAAACATTATACATATTTCTCATCATGTTCGAAATCAGAATACATAAAACATTCATAAAAAGGTTTCTCCACAAGTTCCAAATGCCTCAAAAAACTATAGACTGCGTAAACCGAATTCGGACTCTTGGCGTAATCAGCCACGGGTTTCAGAGGCGCTACTCTTTTCCCGCACGAAGGAGAAACATCCCTCGGAAAAAATACACAAGTGTCCTGTTTTCCAATGAATTGGGTCCGAGCTATCAAAAGTTTACATACAGTCTGGCTGCATGTGTGCAGACTTGTGCCTGAGCTTGTCGAGCTTTGCCTACGTGTGGCGTGCGGGAAGGCTGGATGCTAAGACAAGCTGCCACTAACCGAGCCTCTTATTCGCCATGGACATCAGTTCGTCGTCGTGCTAAAAGCCCGCGCCTCGTTGGATGTCTCGCTGAAGTCGCTGCGAATGTGCCCTCAGTTTGTCCTGGTCTGCACCTAGGAATGCGGACAAAACGCCGAATCAGCTCGATGGAACGGCGAGGTTTCAATCTGCAAAATGGTGGCCTAGCACAGCCCAGTTTCCTTTCCTTCTGTTGTTAATTGTCTCGCCGATGTTTTCTTTGCAGCGGTTGTCGCGCAAGAAGCATCACAATGGGATTGCCATGGTCATACCATGTTGCCATGCTATGACTCGCTGATCCGGGAAACGACCAGCAACTTGCAGGCCGTTGCTGTGTATCATGAAAAGAAAAATAGGCTTGGCTGATGTCGTTCTACGATCTGCCCGGCTGCCATGCCGTGTAATGGTTGCACCGTATCCGTATCGCTCGTTGCAGTAACAACCGCGGCTGCCATCCGGACGCGAAAGGCCACTCGCCAACGTCGGATTCGGACCTCCCCCTCTCTAGACTCTAACAGACTTGCTGTTCGAGTCCCAAGCTCCCGAGCCTCCCTCCCTTCCCTCTCCCTTATTACACTACAGGCTTACGTTCGGCTTTGCCGCGCAGTGGGCAGCCGGGTGCCAGGTGGAGTTCTCCCCCAGCAGTGCAACCCCTCCCCCGGTGCCCGGCACCGCTCCGCGGGCATGAATATTGGATAATGAGACTCAGAGAGTGTGGAAAAGAAACAACACGGTGCAGATTGCAGAATAAGCTGACAGCCTGATATTCCGTTCCCCATCTGCCGCTCTCGCTGTTCAATTTAATTGAAATAATCCTCCACGTCCCCCCTCCCCGACTCCCCCAGTCCACGTTGGCCTCGGTCCTACGACGCAACGTGTGCGCCCAGGTGTCAAGTGCCCGTCACCCTCTGTCTTGTCCGACCGCCTCCTCCTTTCATCTTTCACAAGATCTTCCGCTGCGTTTCTGCTGTGCCTCCCCAACCGAGTCAACCGGCTGCAAGCCTTGGGACTTTGGACTCTGCGAGTCTCGAAAAGGCCATGTCAGGACTGCCGCCAAGACACAAGCGCCAAGTATTTTCAGACGAACGACGGCCAAGGAAATTGACTTTTGCTAGACCGCAAGGAGGCACCCACCAAGCCTGATGTTGCCCGCCAACGGCGCCAAGGGGGTGTGAGAGGAGAGGGGTCCGCCGGGCGCCACCCCTGAATCGTTAAGGTTTTCCAGGGGCCTGCATCCAGGTTTTTCGTCCGTCACGTCTTCAATTTGCAGTTGTCAGTTGCCACTGCGTCCAGCCATTGCTGGCATTGCGTTGATCTGCATACAGAGGATGGCGTGTGCCTACTACAGGGAAAGCAGATCCCATCGCGCTGCAGCTCTCGGTGAACTTGCGTGCCTTCGGTTTTGATCTTTCGGAAATGGAAAAACGAGCATGACCTATTTTTAGCCTAGTGAATAGCTAGACTGATCGTACGGAGTAGGTGTGCTTGTCGCACCACGCGGGCAACCACCCCCGGATCAACGAATGGTGGTGATAAGGCCCCAACCACTCTGTCGATCACATGTCACCCAACTCCTCACATCTTAGCCAATCGTTGCTGACGAGATTGCTTTTATCAACGCTCGTCTCATCCAGAGTGGCATCAGAAGGGCTTATCCAGAAGCAAAATTTCACCGACTGAACAGTTTGCCGATCTCTGGAGCCGCAATCATAAATCCCCGTCCTGCTTGTCCACGCGTTCATTGGGGCGAGGTGTCGTGGATGCCGCAGGAGCCTGGGAGGGGACTCTCTCCATCGTGCCGATCCGGCAACGTCGGACACCGGACGCCGGGGCGACAACTCTCTCCGGAGCAACGACGATCCAATGATGGGAAGTCTCCGTCACGGCAGCCAACGTCGCAGCCGCATGCGGGTTGTGGGGAGACGTACGGATTACGTTCATTCAGTACCCCGCAATGAAGATGCTCGTGTTGAATTGTTCAGATCGTGTGGGCAGTTCAGAGATCAATACATGTACCCTCCAGCGAATGAAGTCGGGTTGGTGCGCGTTTTCTGCAGCCTACCTACAATGCTATTCAAGTAAATCCGGTGATTTGAAAGCTGCACGCCAACCTGGTGAGACTTTCTACATCTGGCATAACTGAGCACACCCACCGGCCTCTTATTGCCTTCTGTCGTGATGTGGCAAACTTCTGGACTTACAACCTCTAGAACCACATCATCAATAACCTCGCAAGATATCCCATCAACTACGGAATGGCAACATTACATGAATTCGTACTTCTATGAGGGGTAATAGCTATATGTAATTACACGTTGATCTGATCCTTTTTCCCTTATTCCCTGTGATAAACAAAATCATAAAAGAGCAGACTTAGAGAAGACTGGGGAACCGGAGTTCTGTCGCCATTCCGCAGTTGATGGGATAAGTCCTACTCATCTCCCCAGTACGAAAACAATGAGGCTCCAATATTTGGTTTTCAACTGGGTTATGTATTCATTTTGACATGAATAATTAGTTTTGTCTCACTACTTCTTGTCTGATATGCTACTTTGCAGCCCAGTCTATGTTTTTCTCTAGCCTTTCATAAGTACGACTCATGATCTATTGGCGAGTTTATCCGGCCTCCGACTACGAACAGTTCTGTATTGAAAGAATGACTTAATCTCAGCATCAACCCGCAAGGCGCCTACGCCGTTGGCGATGGAACCTCCACCGTACCTGATCCTCCCGCTGCGGGAGCGATATGTCCCACGTCCTCCTCAAAGTCCCAAAATGAAAGATCGATTGGCGACACTAAACCGGTCATTCCACCAAACCCGGTCATTCTTGAGCTGGTTTCAAAATCTCCCAGAGGTGACGCTTGTGGCTCCCAAAAGTTCGGTGCTGACTGGGAGGCCGAGCTTATTGTAGGGGCTGGCGGATCGAAGACGGGCATGTTCCGAGCTGCATCTCCTAAACTTGTCAAAAGTTGAGGCTCAATTCCAACTGAGCTTCTCTGATCTCCTAAACTAGATAAATTCGGTTGTTGAGATATGTTACTCGGTCTTCGATTTGAACCGTCGGTCTGTGATCCCAAACCAATGGCGCTATCAGCTGGAGTTCTCAATTCTCCAACGGTTCGAGAGTTCCCAGGATGATTCTGAGGATGGGAATGCCTTGTGTTTGCTACCGGTCGCGCAATAGCCCTGTTTGAAATCCACTCTTGCTGCATGCCGTAGATGGCCTCGTTGACCACTCTCCGAACGTGTTGTGATTCATCTTCAGTGGACTGCAACAGTATCCCTGCTTCCTGCAATGCTCGATGCACGGCAGGTGCGGCATGTCTACTCAGGTGCTCCTGAAAAGCTGAAAGATCCGCGCCCAGGTTGGGGTTCATGTACGCTGAGCGCGGTTTTGTCTTCGTGGGAAACAAAATTTCCCAAATTGCAAACCACTGGTTCTCATCTGAAAAATCAGGATTCGACTTCTTGTGTAAGACCTTGCTTTGTTCATGAGAAATGCCTTCCAAAGTCCCTGTTTCATTTATGGAACAAGCCCAGCCCTCTCCACGGGCTACATGCCCTCGAAGGCGATCCTCGTTGGAAAAGATCTCGAAGCATCGTTGGCAGTAGTGTGCAGGCGTATGGTTCCTTTTAAGATGCTGCTTGACGTCCCGTACTCTTGTTAGTACTCGGGTAGCACAGATGTGATATTTGTCGTAGTCCGCTTTCCAAAATGGGCATGCAAAAGTAAGTCGGCTTGTCTCCGGCAATGGGTTTTTAGACTCCATTCCTGACTTGAGTTCCCCATCAGCGTTACGCTTTTTGCACGTGTTATTTGGGCGATCAGGACTCGATGAATTGTTTCCAGTTTGTTCTTGATCCGAGGCTAGGATAGAGGAAGAGGTGCCGCCTGAAGTTGTCTGTCCACGACTTTGGTTTTGAAGCCGATAGTCTAGAAGGAGGGCGCGGGCAGTTGCTTGGATGATTGGTAACATCGGATGGTCCTTGTTCAAAGGTTGGAAATCAATTTCATCTGACTCCTCTGAGATTGAAAGAAGATCTGTGTCCAGAGAGTCTGCAGAATCAGCAGTCTCATAGTTGCAGTCATCAAAGACATCAACAAGATGGTCTCGGATGGTATTGAACACGCTTTGTTGTTGAGGCTCGTTTGAGCGCCATGTTGAGTTGTCAATTGTGTCTAATATTGGCTTCGACAGTGGTGTGAATGGGCCGTCAGAGAGCTTTCCTTCCACAACTTCATCGATTTTATCTGGACGCATAGATGTGAATAAGAAAATCTAACATAGTATCGAGTTATGAAGACTTACGTTGGGTCTTTGACCGCTGTTCTTCTTTGCAGATGACATGCCGACCTGACTGAAATTTCTCCTTTTCGAACTTATGCACACCATGACCTGCCATCCATTCGGCTGTCGACTGGCAGAGACTGTTGTCGATGCGGAAAACCTCATGCCAGAGAAAGACATTATCGGCTTTTTTGTAAAGCGCAATTCTCTTTCTCGAACCTTCCAATACTGTTTGTCTTCCTTTGGTTTCATGTACAATGAAAGGATGCCCCAAAAGCTCTTGGAGCATCTCCCACGACATCTCCAATCCAGGGAATTCTTTTGGGCGGCGACGAATCGGAAACCCTTGAATTGCTACGAAGTCATCTTCCATCATATCAGTCCACCATCGCTCTTGTGGCGGCAACGACCCGATGGGTCTTTCGTCCACAACGATATCGAAACAGAGAATGACTTCACCGCAGCCTATCTCTCTCGGTCGAGTGATGGTTGGCTTACGATAAATGTTTCGGTCATTCTGCGCAAAAGCGGCTGAGAGCCATGCCAGTTGCTCACCGTAGTCAGCGATCAAGTAGGGATACCCTTCCACTGTGATCGTGATGCATTCGTCTTCCATAGTAGCGAGCAAACGGGGATACCCTGGTTGGCCAATTGGAAAAGTCAGCAATCTTCCTATTCAAGAATGCAAAAACTTTGCTCACCAACTTGAGCCTTATCGGACTGCGTCCCCCCCAAGTCTGAACAAGCCTGCAGAAGCTCAAAAGTCTGTACCCAGCTCGATGACCATATTTGGTCCATGTAGTCTTTTATGGTCATCAACTGACCCTCATCCTTACACAACACGACAATCGTAGACTCCAACGTGGCCTGTCTCAAACCTTTCTTCTTGTCATCGTATAAGAGACATTGGTTAACATTTTTGTCTCCGGGTAGAGGCCAATGGGGAAGTCGAAACTTGACTTTTTGAGTCTTTGGAGGCAGTTTCTCGTCAACCTCATAAGTGGAAAGGCTGAGGATCTTTCGCCGAATCTCCTTCCGTGCACAGTTCTTCAGATCTGTGTCATCTCGCAGCAAAGCTTCTCGCCCCAAATGACGCAGTAGCCAGTCAAATGCCCGACTTTTCAACACGGCTTCATGGTACGAATGCAGCGTGACATGATCCAGGTGGGTTTTGGGGTCTTCGGCTGACTGGAACCCTGCGTCCTGAGAAGGTGAAGCGCAGACAAGACCTTTTGCCTCCTCCCAAAGACTCATCTTATCCTCCACGGACATGTTGTCATGATTCTCGGCAATGAGATGACTCTGGGAACTTTGAACGTCTTCGTCATCATCATCGTCGTCGTCGTCGTCATGGTCAAGGGTTGGCATCATGTTTTGGAGTTGAATGACGAGCTCTCTACTTGCGTTTTTTAGTGACCTTTCTATCGCTTGGGTTACTCATTTTTAGGTTGCGATTACTACTTACCCGCTGTTCTCATGTATGAGACACATTATATCTTGGTTGATCTGATCTGTGGACTCACTGCCAAATTGGATGGCAAATGCTCGAATTGTATTCGACAAAGTTGAGTTCCAAGATCGCAGAACCTCAGAGTCGGCGAGATGACGTAGTCTATTGTATATTTCGCCAGCCAGCTCAGCGATGTACTTTCTCTCTGGGCTGACAGCAATCGTGCTAGCTTCTGAAAAGGGAAACAGAACGGTGTGTTCGACGGCATCATCTGCAGTGGATAGATTTGTAGCAGTTCGTTGCGGTGTGTCTAGGGATATCGGGGCCCAGTCTATGGACGTATATTCAGAGTCGATACTCCAGAGATTCAACAATCTCTTTTTTCGTGGACATTGGTCCAGCTGCAACTCTCTTGGGGCTGTTTCGGTTGTGAGGCCCGTAGGAGGAGCCCAGCCCCCAGACCGTGACTCCAACAGATCCGGATTGAACAACCAGTCGTCGCAGACCAAATCTGTGGGACAACTGTCCCGATCACTAGCCGCCGTATAGAGGCCGAAAGAAACAAAATCAGAAATGTTCATCATGCCGAGTTCTGGATACGAGAAGGTTTCTGTGCCCATAGGCCATGGATCGATGACAGCCGGAGGGAAGGAAGCCGTGGAATAAGTGGTGAAAGGAGTATGGTTGTCACGACTCCCTCCAGAAGTCAAACTCCCATCGCGACTAGTTTCGTTATCGTCGTCATTGTCGAGAGAAGGAGCTTGCTCGCAAAGGTGATCGTCTTGACTCACATACTCTCTGGAAGGACTGTCTTCCACAAAGCCTTCTTCTGGGTCGAATCGCAAAAGTGTTTGATCAGGATTTTGGCCTGTCTCATCCCTCCCATAAACATAGTAGAACTTCTCCATGGTCTTCTGGTCGCTATAAGGACACATGCCGGTGATTGGATGAGTGTAGCGTTCCAAGACTGATTGAGAGGGCAATCGTAGAAGGAAGAATTTGAGAAGACCTGGGTGTCAGGGAAGTATGTGAGAGCCCCCTGGGAATGAGGAAACAGCCAGAATTGCTTGCTGCAACCCGGATCATGCCCAGAAATTTTGACTCTAAGCCGCAAGAGTCAGAAGGCACAATGTGCTGTTGCTTCTCATTCGCCAGAGGGCTGGCTGAGCTGTCACCCAGACTGCGGAATCAGGCTACCAATCATAACGAAAGGCACGACTGCGGTATGATAATCTGATGTACACTTTGTGCTGATTGCGCTAAAGCCTTTTATGGCTGGACTGAAAAGAATGGATCTCCATGTGCTGTTGGGTAGACATGTGCTCCTTACCACGGAACCGCCAAGCCGCCATTAGCACAGGACGTGATATTAAGCCCCAATGATATCGACGGAAACTGGCTTATTACATTATACTCGTGTGCTCATGGGCAAGTATGCATTATGGACGACAACCTTAAAGCATGCCTAAGAGCACACAAACTCATTCGCAAATGGGCCAAACGCTTTTCTTATGAGATTAGGTATAAGTAGTCGCAGTGGAAGGAAGCCATTCTCAGAGATAATGTTTTCTCACTCATCAGGACTCAAAATTTCAAATATTTTACTCTTTCATAGGTATCGAGCTGTTGGCAGTGTAATCGGAGTGCAACGTATCGAGAATTGAATACGATCCCCTTTCAGATCACACTTCAAAGATGCCTCCTCAATCCGTGATTTCTACTTCAAGTTCCCAAGGAAACAGGTTAGCTTAGAATCGCTTGTCATACTGACTGAACTAATCGATATCTTCATATGTTTTAGAAAATCATCCCCCATGCTCGAGCGCTACCTAGAGGACGCTCCAACGATCACGGAGAAACTCTCTAAAAAATCCATGAATAGCACCAAATCCATTAAAGCTACGAAGATCAAGCAAACGAAGAACCATATCAAAAGCTGGGAAGACTCTTGGCGCAAAATGGCTGAGTCTAGGTAGGGGATGACGTTTGGTGCTTAGGTATGGAAGTTGAAAAGCATTCCCCTCTTCAGATTGTACTTAGACGGAAGATGTATAAGATGGACACTTACATTGTGCAGTATATACCGTTCCCTTTGACTCAAAGAGCTACTACTTGTGTCAAGTCGACGCAACATAGGCTCGTTAAAGGCAGATATATGGATGTCTTTCGATTATGGAATGACTTCTGTCGTTACACTTGGAAAAAGTGACAGTGAATGCCGGGCTCGATGGCATATTTGTTTAGATCTATGTTGGAAGGGATAAGCAGCATCGCAAGATGCTGCCGACACCGAAGGTTTGATTATCTGTGCCTTTATCTCTCCATATGAAGAGTGAGAAATTGGGTTGATGGGTCGGCGGTTAGCCCAGGTGACGCATGCCCTCGAGAGGGATGCGACAATCTAGGTGTCTAACTTGCAGTCCGAACCGGGCTCACAGTTTACTTCTGTGTCATCAGTTATGGAACACAGCAATGGGCATATAAGGTGGTTTAGGAGCAGGCAGCAGCTTGAACCAGCCCATCTAGAACGAATAGAAGCGAGCAGTCTATTTACCAAGGGAATGCGGAGTGTAGTACGTGAGAAAGCACGTGACAGAGTGCCTTACGAGTGCCGATAACATATTTGCTCCGTAACAGACTCCTTTACTCTGGTTTCAATCCGAAGGCTTGGCTAAATCTCAAGAGCCGCCGTACTTCGCAATGGAGGTCCAGTCTCTGACGCGTGGTGGCCTGTTATCTAGGTACTGACCTAAGTCCTGCTCCATCCTCATGACATCGTCTCTTTCTTAGGTAACTTAGATTGGGACGGAAGATCGTCAGGGGACACCCTTTCCCTGATTCGCCCGTGGTCTGTGGGGTAAAAAGATCCGATCGATGATGACCCGATGACATCTCGACGCCAGTCCGAGCGCCAATTCATCCCCCTTACCCCTTGATAAGATGTGAGTAACGAAGATGCATCCAATCATCTGCCAATTGCAAGTTATTCAAAATCAAACGTGAAGCAGTTCAGTGGTGAATGGAATTACCACATTTTAACAAAGACCGCGGTTCATCCCGACTCCAATCGTCATGTTTCTAATTTTGACTTCAGACCAACCAGCCCATACCAAAGCGCCTTAGCTCGACGGTTACACATTTCA